TCTCTCTTGAGTCGCTTTTGTCAAACACTGTGTTTCAGTAAGAAAAGTCGCTAACACAAGTGGTGTTTTTACGTTTAAACTAGCTGTGGAGATAGATTGGTTTTGCTTTTCTGAGACAGGGTCACTTGCTATGCCGTTCTAGGCTTTTTTTTTTTTTTTTTTTTGAGACAGGGTTTCTCAGTGTAGTTTTGGTGCCTGTCCTGGATCTCGCTCTGTAGACCAGGCTGGCCTCGAACTCACAGAGATCCACCTGGCTCTGTCCCGTGAGTGCTGGGATTAAAGGCGTGCGCCACTACCGCCTGGCTAAATAAATAAATCTTAAAAAAAAAAAAAAAAAAAAAAAAGGCAGAAGGTCTGGGTTGTGGTGGTGCACGCCTTTAATTCCAGCACTTGGGAGGAAGAGGTAGAAAGATCTCTGTGAGTTCAAGGCCAGCCTGGTCTACAAAGTGAGTTCCAGGACAGCCAGAGTTGTTACACAGAGAAACCTAGTCTTGAAAAACCAAACACCAAACAAACAAACAAAAATGAAACAAAAGGCAGGAGAGGTAGATGAGTGAGTAAGATGTGAGCTGTGCAAGCCTGAGTGTTTGTGTTTACCCTGCGTACAGAAGAGAACTGACCACACAATGTTCTTCATCCCCCCCACCTCCTAATGATACATAAGCAAATCGTTCCTTTTCAAACTATTTCTTTAGTTTTTTCTTGTATTTGTTTATTTCTATGTGTGTGGATGCTTTAGGCATGCCTGTGCACCATGTTTATGCAGTGCACACAGAGGAGGAGGGTGCTGGATCCTCTAGACTGGAGTTACAGATGGCCAGGAGCCACCATGTGGGTGCTGGGAGTTGAACCCAGGTCCTTTGGGAGAGCAGTCAGTGCTGTTAAACCCTGAGGTTTAAACCATCTCTCCAGCCCCAGATTCCTTTAGTTTTATGTTATGTGTGTTAGAGCTTGCATGCATGTATGTAGATGCACCACAACTTCCTTGGTGTACACGGAGGCCGGAAGAGAGTGTCAGATTGCAAGGAACTGAAATTACAGGCATTTGTGAGCCACCATGTGGGTACTGGGAATGGAACCTGGTCCTCTGCAAGGGCAGCCAACGATCTTCATGGCTGAACCATCTCTCTAGTCTCTAAAAAGTCATCACAAGAAAATGTAGGGATGTGACTGGCATCTGTACAGGTTGTTGATGGTGATGGTTTCCTGGATGTTTGTGTCTAGTCATAGAAATGCTTTCTTCTTGTTGTTGTTGTTGGTTTTTGTTTCTTTGTTTTCCCCAAGACAGGGTTTCTCTGAATAGCTCTGGCGGTCCTGGAACTCACTTTGTAGCCCAGGCTGGCCTCATAGAGATCCCCCTGCAGCTGCCTTCCCAGTCCTGAGATAAAAGGTGCGTACCACCACACCCAGCTGAAAGGTGGGAAATCTAAGTATTAAGCATGTATAACTTTTTATATGCTAACCACACTTCAGAAAAGTTAAAAAAAAATTTTTGTATTATTTATGTATGTAGATGTGTTGTGAATGTGTCACATGTGTGCAGGTACCTGCAGAGGCCAGAAGAGGGTGTCAGATCCTCTATAGCTACAGTTACAAGGGGCTGTGAGCTTCCTGATGTGTGTACGGGGAATTGAAATCTCAAGTCCTCTGCAAGAGCAGGAAGTGCTCTTAACCACGGAGTCATCTCCAGCCCCAGGAGAATAGTTTTTTTTTTTTTTGTTTTGTTTTGTTTTTTTGGTTTTTCGAGACAGGGTTTCTCTGTGTAGCTTTGCGCCTTTCTTGGAACTCACTTGGTAGTCCAGGCTGGCCTCGAACTCACAGAGATCCGCCTGGCTCTGCCTCCCGAGTGCTGGGATTAAAGGCGTGCGCCACCACCGCCCGGCTTTGTTTTGTTTTTTTTAAAGATCCGTAGCCAGGCATGGTGGGGCATACCTTTAATCCCAGAACTCAGGAGGCAGAGGCAGGAGGATTCCTGTGAGTTGAGGCCAGCTTGGTTTACATATTGAGCACCAGGTGGCCAGGAGTACATAGAGAGACGCTGTCTCAAGAAACCAAAACCAAACAAATAAACAAAACAAAACATCCTGGCTGGTGAGAGGAGATTTACCTTAGTGGTCAAGAGCACTGACTGCTCATGCAAAGGGCCTGGGTTCAATCCTTAGCACCCACTTGGTGGTTCATATCTCTTAGCATTCACATGATGGTTCACAACCATTCAGAACTCCAGGGGACCTAACACAATCTTCTGACTTCTGGGGGCACCAGGCATGCTTGTGGCACCTAGACCTATATACAGGCATCATACATAAAGTAAAATAAATGAATCCTTTTTTAAAAAAAAGCATCTTGGCTGGGTATGGTGGTACATGCCCATGATCCCAACAGTTAGGAGGCTGAGGCAGGAGGATCGCCATGAGTTAAAAGTCAGCTTCACAGCAAGCTCCTGCTTTAAGGAATATACTCACAGGGCCCCATAAATAGGATGGGATGGGCATCTCTGGACATCGTCTGGCTTGTCATAACTTGCCTGTAGTCTGTGATGTGGTCACAATAATGTGGATAGCATCATGATTGCTTTCATTAATATTATGAATGAGGGTTTCCCCACAGGAAGTCTCTGAAACACTTCAGCAGGCTGCAGATGATGGGGGAGGACAGGACTGAGGGCCCATCAATCCCCAGGACCCACATGGAGAAATGAAAGAACGGACCCTGCAAGCCATCCTTTAACCTACACACCTGCAGGGACACATGTAAATAAAATGTAAAATATAATAAAAAAAAGAAGAAGAAGACCTAGTATAAGGAAGAACTTCCCTAAGGTGATTTTTTTTTTTTTTTTGAGTCAGGGTTTCATATAACCTAGGCTGGCTCTGAGCTCACTATGTAGCCAAGGGTACATTGAACTTCTGATCTAGTGTCTAAAGTAATGGAGTAAAATAGTCTTACACTCATAATCCATTTCAGTACCTCCCTAGATGGTTTACTTTGTTCTTTGTGAAGGAGGACAGCAACTGGGTTTAGCACCTAAAAAAAAAAAAGGGGGTGGGTGGGGAGGTGAGAACCTACTGTCTCAGATAACTGGGAAGCAGCAATCGAGGCTAGATGCATGCTCACTCTAGCCACAAAGCTGATCTCTGCCTCAGCTTTGATTTTAGGGAAAGTCTATTTCCACAGCTGGAGAACTCCTCCACGGCCTCACTGGTTCCTCTCCAGAACCAGGGAAGAGCAGGACTCTGTCACATGACACTGCCCCCTGGCCCTGGAGTCAGCTCCAAGGAAGCGTGTACTCTGAAAGAAAGTGATAGAGGGTCACTTACCCCAAGAGAAACTATGGTGAGACTGACCTGTCCCACAAGTCAGCAAGACCTCTCTGGACTCACATGGAATCGAACTAGGTCTGGGGAACTCAAACTCAGGAAGGGTTCCGTGAGGAAATGGGTCCAAAGCCTCTGGCAACCCTACAGTGAGTGATCTGCTTGCTTTTCGGGGCTGACAGAGATGCCAAGCCTGCCTTGAGGACCGCCCCCCTGCTTCCCTCAGACTCTGGATTTCTTAGTTCAAATTTGCAAGGAAGAGCCTGACTGGACAGGGTTGAATCAGGTTTTCCGTCCCAGCCCAATCAGCTTTGGCAGGCTGGGAGGGGAGGCTGAGCAGTGTCCTATTAGAAAAGGTGACCTGCTGCTCCCTCTCCCTAAAGACTGAGATCAATGAGTCACCCTTCTAGTGTGGTTAGAGCCCAACCCCAGGGGCTCACTTCCTAGTCTAGCTGATTTTCTTTGCCTTTCTTGTGTAGCTAATTCCTTGGAATGGAAACTTTCTCTTCTGGAAGGAAAGAGATACATAAAAATCAGGAAGCTACCTAGAGTGCTCCAGGTCCTGGGTTCACTCCCCAGCACCAGAAAGTATAATAAAAAACCCCAGGAAGCTGTTGAAGGATACGAAGCTTGGGAAGTTCAGTTTTCAGACTCATGAGGTCCCTCCCAAGGTTATCTAGATAGACTCTGGAGAGGAGACGCTGGATGAACGGCCTGTAAGTTGTACACTGCTCTGGGGATGCACGCGGCTTCTGTGTGTCTTGAGCCATGTTGGGCTGGCCTTTTCAGCTACCTGGAGTCACCTTGCAAATACCTTAAACACCTTCATCGGTTTGCCAAGGGAGACTTTGGGTGGAACTCTTTAGTGGGTCATAAGTGCCCTCTACAATGAATAGTTGTTTATGTCCCCAGGAAAGTGACACAAACTGCTCACTGAGTCCTAGCAAGTGCTCCACTACTCTCCTCCACCCCCAGACCCACGTGCTTTATTTTAAACAAACACCAACACTCCCAAGTTGAGGTGAGAAGCCAGACTTTCTGCCCAGGGCCACACAGCCAAAAGTGGCCCACAAGTTGTCATAGTGATGTTAAATTCTACCTAGGGCAGCTGGGGAAGACAGAGACCACTGGAATTCTCCAGACTGAGGGTCCTGAAAAGGATGTTGGTACTTGGAGGGCTAGGAGGACCTTGAACAATTGGCTCTCTGCCCCACAACTGGGCACCAGGGCCCAGGGCCAAGTGTAAGACTCTTGGAGACAAAGCTTCCCTGTCTCTCAGTGTCCCCAGGTCTTGTCCTTCCAACTGTCTCGCTGCACTCCCCGTGACTCAGCAGCTTTCCCGACCTGCTTTACTCTTGGAGTGGGTTGGGTCTTTGTTGTCAGGTGGATCTGCAGACTTGGGAAGCTATATAAAAATTGTATAAGCTATATAAAAGCTTGAACTCGAGTTTTTTCGAATGCTAAGCAAGCTCTATACCACTGCCCCCATCCCATCCTGAAGGGCTTTCCCTCACAGTCTAAGTCAGATCTGGGCTTAGCCCCACACATACATTCACACGCGTGCGCGAACACACACACACACACACACACACACACACACACACACACACACACACACACACCCCTTTATCAGTTCCCTTCTTTCAGCTCACTGGATCAGCATTTTAAACCCAGAGTGGTCACCAATATCTCAGCTGCCTTATTCAGCCACAGCTGGTTGTGGGCAACCAACTGGCGCTTCCTCCACTGGACCCCAAATTCTCTTAGGACGTCTGTTAGTTGAAGGCAAACGGTGTGAGGTCTTCATTCACCCGCGATTTCAGATTCTCCAAGCCTGTTTTGATTTGGTTTGGCGTGGGCAGCTGGGAGCCGCTCAGTAGGGAAGGAGAACCTGTGCTGAGACCAGGCAAGGAGAAAGTGACCCTCCGCTCCACACTGCAGGAGAGCAGACATCTAGAACCCGCGTGACCTCTCCATGCAGTGAGACTCTGCCGCGAGTCTCACAAAACTCACTTTGCCTTTTCTAGTTTCGCAATTGCTTGGGAAATGGCGGCGAGCGGCTTTGCCACGAGGGAAAATTGCACGCAAATTTGCAGTGCAAAGCCGGGTGTCAGGGAGTTTAATTCGGAATTCATTCGCTGACGCACGCGGGCGTGTCGCAGGCTCCGGAAACCTGGTGTAGCGAGGTCGGAGCGCAGAGGAGAGGACGACAGTAGCCGCTCTGACCTATGCAGCGCCACCTCCGGAGCCCAGTGTCCCCACTGGGCATCAGGGTGACTCGCGGCCTCGAGGCTGCGCAGGAGCCACAAGACTCCAGCGCCCTTATCCGTTGAGGTCCCCAGGCCACCGCTCAGTGTGCCGGAAGCTCCCCTCCCCCTCTTCCCAAATGCTCCCAGCAGCCTGGAGGCTCCAGCAGTGACCCGCGTGTCCCCGCGCACGCACACACCTCACGCACGTCAGCCCCACGCTTCCCTATCGCCTCGTGCCCGGGTGCACGCAGGCCTTTACGCTCGGTCGCACATGGTCACAGAGCCACTGAGGGCCAGATAGCTGCTCGCGGGGTGGGACGAGGACCCCGGGACAGGTCTGGGCGCTGGCCGGGGTGGAGCCGGGGGCGGAGCTTCGGGGCCGGGCGCGCAGAGCTGGGGCGTGTCCGCGCCGCCGTGCTCCGCGCCGCCCCGCCCTCGGCCCGCTCCCTGCTCTCCCAGCTTGCTCGCCGCAGCCCCCGCCGTAGCTGCCGCTGCTCCCGCCGTCACCGCCTCCGAGGTAGGCGCAGCAGAGAGGGCCCCGGCTATGCCTGAGTCCCTGGGGGCCTCGGGCAGCGATCCTGGGGAGTCTCGAGGGAGGCGATAGAGGGAGGATCGGGCTAGGGCGCAGGGTCTTAAGAGCCCGGTCCCGGGAAGGGTGAACCAGGGAGGATCATCTCCGGCCTGGAGAGTCAGCGGGCGGGTAGTGGAGGCCTGGAGGGCGGGTGCCGAGCGGATCTCAGGAGGGAGAGATCCCAGCCAGAGCATCCAGTACACTTGCAGTTGGGAGCGAGGGGCGGTCTGAATATGCGAGCGGAAGGGCAAGGGCAGCCGCGTGGAGGCCTGGCGGGCCGCGGTGTAGGTGACCTTCCCCGGCGGCGCCCTCTGGCTCTAGATCCCGTCGGCATGGATCTGGAAGAGACCCTCCCTCGGCCCAAACCCTTCCCCGCCAGCCACGAGGGCCTGTGCAGACCCATCTTTCTCCACCGAGAGGACGAGCTCCAAGCATGGCCATGCGCTGGAGCCCCCGGCCCCTACACGCCCTAGTCGGCCCACGCCCGGAGTAGGTGGCGCTGGGTCCCTCCCGCGCATGCCAGTGCCTTCCCGGACGGAACCGGCTGTCCTGAGTGGACTTAGGCCTCAGGGACAAGCACCTGGGCCTGGACTGGAGGCGAGACCCCATAGGGAGCGATATGCCTGGCCTCCTTGGCCTTAGGGATGGATTCCGTGTTCCGTGTCGCCATATGCGACTGTGCGTTAGGGAAACTGTTTTCAGGGCCTGACGTCTGATTGGAGGCCCACAACTCTTCATGGTTTGTCCAAGGTCACACTGGTAGGAAGATTTCAAACTTCAATTTTTTTTTATCTGCGAAATAGGAGCAATTATATATACTTCACTGAGTTTGGGGGGAAGAATAAAATGATCCGATTAACACAAAGCCTTGGGGCATGCACAAGGAAACTTTGACACTTACCTAGGAGCTTTTGGGGAGGATTGAATTCACCGCCCCCTCCCCGCAGTCCTTTTGTTTCCTATGGTGTCCTGGAAGGGACTCAAATCTACAGTCCTGTTATTTTAATGCCATTGTGACTATGTTAGTAGCAAGCATTTGTGCACCACCAGCTACTCAGTATAATTCATGAAACACTGCCAGTTTAGAGACTTGACAGGCATCAGGCTGGACCACTAAGTCTGACGGTAGACCCAGATGAATTGCAGGAAGGGTCTGGGCTTAGCCCTGCCTTGTGCCATCTAAAACTCCTTCCCCTTGACAAGAGAGATGGGCCAAGAGCTTCTTTACCCAGGCAGTTTTGTCTTCGGGGTCTTGGGTGGAACCACTGGGCACACATTAGGTGGGTTAGAAAGGTCTGAGGGGGATAAATTCATTTTTAGAAATGTCTATTTAAATGTGTCTGTGCCTATGTGAATTTATGTGCATACATGCAGATGCCCTCAGAGGCCAGAAGAGGGTATTGGATCCCCTGAACTGGAATTATAGGCAGTTGTGAGCTGCCCAGTGTGGGTCTGGGAATCAAACCTGGGTCCTCTGCAAGAGCAGTAAGCACTCTTAACCCCTGAGCCATCTTTCCAGTGCCAATAAACGCATCTTTTCATGCATTTTTTTTTCATGCCACTCTTCACTACCCCAGCAAGTGACACGTGGTAGGTGCACATTAAGTCGTGGAATCTTGAATACCCGTTAGAAGACACGGGCCTCTCACTCACTTCTAGAGGCTATCCTGGTCTAGCAGAGTCACAGATGTTTAAAGATCTATAATGGCACATACTAACCTACAGCAGTAGCTATGAGAGATGAGAAGGAACTCTTAACATTCCACAACTTCCCAAGTCCTGTGGGAACTTGTCAGACGAGTGTATCTGGGCTTGAAGCAGAGTGATTGTGGGTGAATGGGATTCTGGCCAAGGCCTTCCCTTTCTGACAGGTGTGTGTGTTATGCCTTCCCTTTCTGACAGGTGTGTGTGTCTGGTGGCTTCTATGATCGTGTGGCTTTGAGTAAGGTCCCTGGCCCCAGCTGTAGCAGTGGGTGCTCCCGGGTGATTGCTTTGTTTTATTTCTGATACCTAGAACGAGGCATTAGACTGGCTGGGACCACACAGTACTCATGCAGGACCTGAGGCAGGTGTAGACTCTGGACTCTTGAGGTGGTGGTGGTGGTAAGGGCAACCCTTGAGCACCTTGAGAATTGTCAAGGTGCTCTGGGGCCCTTTGCTCTTGCTGAAATTTCCCACAGAATGATGGACACCTCCAGTAGTACTGATGGAGGGAAACTGGCTGAGAACTGCCAAAGTCGGGAGGTTAGCCTCCACAGGATTCCAGAAAGGCTGTGGTCTGTAACTTTGCACTTTCCTCGGGTTCCCGTGGTAGTCATCAAGAAAGGATGATGGATGGGGGCATGCTCAGCTGCGCCTGGGCAGGGACTGCCATTTCACTGTTAGTCAGAGGATCTAAGCACTTTACCTAGAGCTGAGCAAGAAAAAGCTCCAGAGGGCAGCCTGGGCTCTCAACCCTGATGGACTGACAAAAGCCACAGGGTCTAGCTCAGGTTAAGTAGCTTTCTTATGTCTTAGTTTCTCTGTCATAAAGTGCTTTGTTTGTTTGTTTTTAATTATTTGTTGGGAGGTAGGGAGCTCATGTGGGGGTCAGAGGACAACTTCTGATCTTACAGTCTCCACCTGAGAGTTGGGGTTGTAGGTGTGCACTATCACCCCGGGGTCTGCTGTAGAAGTGTGATTGTCACTGTTGGCCATTCTGGAGCTCGGAGTGTGTGTAGTCTGTGACTCTGCCGTGTATACTTGGTGCCTGGGTACAGGGTAGTTCTCTGCTAGTATCCCACACTGCACTGCTGCTGTGCTTTAAGGAGCCCATAGGTGTGAGTCTGTAAAGTAGAAATCACTGTCTGGTTGGGAACAGAAAGAGATATGTGGCTGGTGCTGGCCATCTGCAGTGGACAGTACCCAGAGGAATCAGTCCTGTTTCTAGCAAGGACCTTGGAGCTGAGTATTAGAAGGGCTAGTTTTCCCTGGGATGAGATGGGAGGTGCTCTTCCAGGACCTGGCCAGACAGTATCCAGTTAAACAGTACCTCTTTATGGATAAAGAGGACTCTAGACCCTGTGGTTCAGGGTGAGTCTGACAAGATGCTCAGAAACCATTATTATAATAGTAAATATGCAAAACAAGGACTTGGTTAGATACCTAGCCACAAATATAGCAACAGAAAATAGCTATTGGACGGGCATGGAGCTCAGTAGAATGCTTGTCCAGCAGGCGGGAAGCCCTGGGTCCTGTCTCCAACACTGTGGAAAGTCAGTGTGGTGGGACACACACTCTGGTGGAAGTGGAGGCAGGAGGATCAAATTCAAGGTGGCATAATGAATTTGAGACTCACTTATGGGCTACTTTATACCCTGTCTCAAAACAAAATCAAGCTGGGAAGTGGTGGTTTACACTTTTAATCTCGTCACTTGGGAGGCAGAGGCAGGCAGATCTCTGTGAATTTGAGGTTAGCCTAGTCTACAGAGTGAGTTCCCGGACTGCCAGGGCTGCATCGAAAAACCAAAACCAACCAACCAAACAAAAACATTTATCCATCTGCTCATCAGTCAACAAGTTACCTGTCGTCTATCATCTTGATGGAATTCTAGTTGTGTTTGTTTCATACCTTCCGTATTAGCCACAGTATTAAGTGCTTTACATTTATGAAAAATGGGGTCAGAGAGACTGACTCAGGGTCTTTTACCTAGAAAGGGGAGTAGGAAGTGGGCCCAGATGCTCTTGATTCCCGAGGCTGAGCGCTTAAAGAACTGCGTTGTGAGGGCTCTTGAGGGGCCTATGGCTATGCTGGAGCCCCGGTGTGCACGGCTAGACCTTAGACCCTGGAGTGCTGGTTGCCCGCATAGCCGTCTCTTCTTCACGGGTGGGTGAGTGGGTAGGCAGGCTGCCCTGAGTCAGCTAATATTCTCCCAAGCCTTGGGAAGAAGACTGCTGTTGGTGGTGGCCCAGCTTCCAGAGTGTTTTAAAATAGAAGCAGCGCCTGGAAAGCCAGGCTGCCCCCTGTGAGACTCTGTGCAGGGGGGAGGGGAGGGCAGCTGCTTTGGGAACACAGCCTGCTTCCAGAGCAGAGGGCCAGTGCCTCGCCAGCATCTGGATCCAGTGACCAGTGACCAGTGACCGGTCCCTGGGCTGCCTTTGCTTGGGAAGACAGTACTGTGCTGTTGCTGGTGTGTGTGTGTGTGTGTGTGTGTGTGTGTTTATGTCTGTCTGGTGTGTGTGTGTGTTTGTATATGTGTGTGTGTAACTCCTGAGCTGGACCTACCTTCTGCTGGGAGGTTGATCATTCACGTATACACACACACACACACACACACACACATACACACACACACACACACACACACACACACACACCACCTCCTCCCACCCCACCCTCCCCCCTCCCTGTCCCTAGGGTTGGGGGATAGGTAGTTGATTTTGCTGTGATCAAACCTGGCCTCTTTTATTTTTTATTTTATGTGTATGAGTGTTTTCCCTGAACATATGTTAGCACATCACACTCATTAAACCCCCCTGAACTGGAATTACAGGTGGTTGTGAACCCCTGTGTGGGTGCTGGGAACCAAACCGTGGTCCTCTACAAAAGCAGCCAGTGCTCTTAACTGCAGAACCATCTCTCCAACCCCGATACCTCTTTGTAAGCTTGTCCATTTTTGCTCTGGAAATCCACCCAAAACTGTTGGAGAAGCAGCGGAACCAAAGTTGTCCCATGATTCTCTCATTCTGAGGGGAATCCTGGGATGGTGATGGAAGCGTTTGGTGGCTGTGTTGCTTTGGCTCCTGACAGTATCTATGTACACTATTATCTGGTTATCCCTGCAGTATAATGAGGAAGTCATTTGC